CCAGCCCCTATATGAAGTGACTCTTAATATCTTTTGTGCAAAAGTTAAAGCTTAGTCATAAGACTCCAAAGACATGGAAAACAACCAAAAAGAGACACAAAACACTATACTAACACATTTTGTGTTTCTTTCAGTCTTCATCAAACTTCAGAAGGGAGCATTATACTTTTTACTCCACTATTTGACTGCTATAGAGTGCCATAGGGATGGACTATCACCCTGGTTCCCTCAACAAAAAGTCAATGTTTTGTTTCGTACACTCTAAGTTGAGAACCAACACTTCACACCCTCACACATACCAATCATGTAAAACCTTCCATGTCCTGGCCTGTTTTGTTAATGTGTTATTTTGTGTTGCAATACATTAAAAAAATAAGTCAGTGGGATTTTTCCGTAGGCTTTTGGATTACTGCAGAAAATAAGCTCGGTGACAAACAACAGTTTTAGACACTTGCATGTTTTTTTCAGCAAGATAATCATCACATGTGAACCCCACCAAGCCCAAATACAGTTGCCAGAAGTGAAAAGCTATTGTTAGAATATAAACAAACTACAAAACGGTCCTATGACTTCAACATCACCACCACAGCTTCAATCTTGAAATCTGATTTAGTCAAACTGTTTAACTGGCACAGTTAGGAAATGTGTTTCCCTGTACAATGAAATTCTTACTTTGCCGTCCACATGAATGCCACAAAAATACAAATGAAATATAAAGCAGATAAACAAGCAACACAAAATTGAAGGCACTTTAAGCAGCACACTGATTTAGCACACACACCTCTTCTACAGAATCCTTCCCTCTTAGCATGATCTGATCTAACTAGTGACCATGGCATCAGTTAGAATAGTTTGCAAGTGCATGAGTTTAAACATAACTAGAGAAATGCATTTCCTGTCGAAAATGCATTAATCAAGAGAACATAGTGTGGCTGCTTTACAGCATCCACACAATGAGGCTATAGAGGCGGTCTTGTGAGTCTGTGTTTGGCCATGATTTTTAACATCCCTGTTGTCTCATTTAGCCACTTGTTAGCAACTGCCTTTTAAAGAACCTAAAAAATGTCAAATTCAAGAGTGTGACATTTACTAACATAGTTTATGTCATAGAAACGTGAAAATTTATTGTGCTTATGTTAATGACAGACCTTATTTCAAGGACCTAATCAAAAACCCACTGACTTCAATTAGAATTACCACCTCTAGTTGTATGCAACTGCCAACCAGCCAAATTCACGGGAATAAACAGACATGAAATCACAGTGATCTTTGACCTTCAACCACCAAAATCTAATCAGTTCATCCTTGAGGCCATTCCCTCAAGGCATAATGCCATTGCCGAGGAGGCATAAACACTGTAGACTTCAGGCTGAAGGAACTGGAAGTGCAAACCTGCTAGCTTATTTCTGGGTTTTAGGACCCAATACTATGGCACTCTAGTCACTGGTTACTTTATTGTTATTAGTTCCATTAAAGAGACATTTGCTGTCTTGTGGTTTCATTTAAATAACAGTTCAAATTATCCAATTTACTAAAAATCGTTAATATAAAGATACTTAGTAGTGCAGTAAAGAGACATTTGCCATCTTATGTGGTTTCATTTAAGTAACACTTCAACTAGAAAGGGTAAATTATTGATGTGAAGGAGACAAAACTTGTGTAATTTTACTGCTGAAACTTAAACTACACTTCCCACATTACACAGAGTCATTGACCTTCTTGAGACATCACACTCATAAGAATGAGCCAGACAGACTAACAACCTGAAAACATAACGCCATCGACATAAAAACCGTAGACTTCAGGCTGAGGGAACTGGAAGTGCAAACCTGCTAGCTTATTTCTGGGTTTTAGGACCCATTACTATGGCACTCTAGTCACTGGTTACTTTATCGGTTTCATTAAAGAGACATTTGCTGTCTTGTGGTTTCATTAAATAACACTTCAATTGATCAGGGTGAGTTAACTACCTCTTACATTAAACAGTCATTGGCCTGTTAATATAAAGATACTGAGTAGTGCAGTTTAAATCTGTTATTAGTGGATGAGATTGTGTTTTGTAGAGAAACTCACCTGACAGGAGTCCTTTCCTCCCTGAGTCAGACCAGCACACATCATGCTGCTTGTGATTCCACCACCGTAGTTATTGTTACAGTCACTGTTGGACACAATGGGAACACTCACCTCCTGCAATGTCTGAGGTGAAGGAAGGGGAACTGAGAAAGAAAAAGAAACATTTGAGTCCTTGCCTACACTTGATGTACACTTCCAATGCCACTGCAAAGTGGTATCCAGAGCTCAGTGTATCCCACAGTTCATCATGCTCTGCTGCTCCACACCAGTCTAGCTGTTGGTGCTACTGCTTTAGGTGCTAGTAGAAAGTATTTTAGTGCAGCTGCACAGGGACAGTCAATACGGACAACTGAACAAGGTGAACCCTCAGGTACGACACCTGCTGCTGTTTACACAACATGCTTACTCATTATAATGGGATAAGTTCTTAAAGTTGTGTTTGAATTAGCACTGCTGGTCATTATGATGTTTCATAAGCATTTTATTGAAATATTTATTTGTTATTGTCGTATAGTGTTTTATTAGCAAGTCTTAACTGATAACTAAGTATCATGGCCCATGGAGTTAGGAGACCCCAGGACCTTCAAAACCAGCTCTGCTTAAAAGTCTGTGTAATTAGAAGTCAGTATAATTACTTCTCTGTAGGGCCAATGTGATGTTTTCACTCATGAAACTGGTAAATCTGATGTGTCACCACATGATCAATCTGCTGTGTCAACCAATGATTTATTAATCTTGTTTGATAGGACAAGCAGAAAGGCTGATTTATTACTGTGAATTCTTTAAACTTGCGATGCCAGAACAGGCTCAGTTGGAGTGTTGGTTGATTAGTGCAAACATGTTGTGAAACTGAGAGGGTGTCTTCATCTCTGGTCATTTATTCAGGTTTTTCAGCTGATGGAAAATATAAAATGCTGTGACATGGCTGGTTGGGGCGTCTCGACTGTGCTGCCAGTCAAACACCTACACCAACACACCTCTTCACATATGGAGAGAAAAAGGAACATTTCAAACATTTCTCCCCAGACCTCCAGGAGTCCTATAAGCCCCGGAGTTTACACCTTTATCAGTAAGCTATGGTTAAACAGTCTGTCTCTAACAATCTAACAACAATTAAATCTTTAACAATTCATTTTTTAAAGTTAGGATTTATTTTTATTTTATGTAAATTAATAACCCGAAAAGTTATTGGTAAGCACAGTAGTTAATGTATAGAGTAGTAGTATCACGTTGTCATGATTCTGTCCCGCGTGTTTCCGGTCTCATGCTTTAATTTTGACACAACTTCCTGCTCTAGCCTTATCTCAGCTACAGACATTTTACTTTTGAGAAGAAAGCTGTCAGATTGTTCTAACCCATGTTCAGACTTTTCAGCGAGTTTTTTCCTTGGCCTTGTTACCACCGAGTACTGCCTAACCCCTCTGATTCGCTTTATATTCTTATGGATCTTCCTTTCTGACCGTGCTTTTCGTGGAAATCTTGGATGTGTGAGTTTGCTGGCTTTGACCCTGGACTGTATTATCGACCTGAGAGTGTTACTTGTTGAATCAGACTCCTGCCTTGTGTATCGTTTGTGTCTGACCAGTGCGATTATTAAAAAGACAGTGTTTTACTTATCCTCATCTGGCTATGTAATTGAGTTCACCCCTTGATATTATTGGCAGCTTTACGCGCCGATTCCTGACACAAGTAGCATAACACAGACATCTGTATTTAAGTATATGGTAAATGGACTGTATTTATATAGAGCATTATTTCCACAGTGTGTTGCACTAGCCAAAGCACTTTACAGGAGATGATACACCATTCACCCACAACATTCACACACCGATGACAACAGACTGCCACACAACAGCGCTAGTCAAGGTTCAGTGTCTTGCTCAGGGACACTTAGGCATGCGGGGACACCGGGAGTCAAACTGCCATACCTTGTGAGCCAAAGCCACCCCTTGTACATGTACTTAGTTTTATTTTCCAGATTATTTGGCAAAATATATTCTGTACAATCACAGTTTTAAATTGCTGTTTAATTTAGATATGTTTACATTTCAAAATTTGTCTCAATCTGGAAATCAAGCTAAAATATGACTATTTATTTTTTCAAAAATTGTTGTGTCCCTAATGTTGAGACAAAACCTAGCTTGTTTGTTGTTTTGTTGTAAACATGAAAGTCTGAAATATGGAATTTACCAAGTTTTTACACTTTTTGTAATATTGTTTGAAAACGCGTGAACAGGAATCTGACTCATATATTGGCTCATATGAACAACAACAATAATAACAGTAATAAGAATGATGCTCACCACCAGTTTGAGTATTTCCCCAACCAGTGATCCAGCAGTTTTTCCCAGCTGCAAAGACGCTGCCAGGTGCTGCCAGGCACACAGGTTTGATGTAGTTGCTGAAGGAAACCAATGAGGACAGCTGGAACAGGGCTATGTCGTTATCATTTGGCGGTGAGTTGTAGTTTGGATGTACGATGATCTGGGACACTGACCGGGACACTGTATTAGCATTGATTCCTTGCTGGGTCTGAAGTCCCAGGTAGACACGAAAGTTTCCTTGGATGGACCCACTGTGACAATTAATAATGCTGAATAAGTAAAACCTCTTAAAAATACGATGTTCTCACTCTTCATTCTTATATATTAATCAGTGACATAGTGACAATTTTCTTTGAGCTCATTCACTGTAAAATATCATACATCACTTTAGTGGAATCAGTTCATTATTTTTCATAATTTTAATGTAAATATTTATTTCATCTTACAATTTCTGGGTTTTATTTTCAGACTTTAGAACTGAATCATGTGACAGGATCAGCGCTTACCTGAAGACACAGTGAGCAGCTGTCATGACCCACTGGTTGTTGATCAGGGAGCCTCCACAGATATGTCCGCTGTTGTATTGCAGACTGGCCTGCCAGGGCCATGACCCCGAAGAAGCATCCTGACCTCCTACGATCTTTGTGTTGAGAGGTGCATTGCCACAAACTGAAGGGACACAGTCAAAAGTCATGTCACCCCTGTTTTAATCTAATCAGAGAAATATCACAAAATGTATTGAATTGGTTCCCATTAAATGTTCTGCATGTTGCCCTGAAAATGAATTCAATACTGTAGTGACTTTTCCTCTAGCAGCTTCATCAGATCAGCTTCATAGTTTTAACCTCTGCTGTGTACACACTTCTACAACACTTCTCCTGTTTTTGTTATACACATGTCTGAACAACCTGCAAACAATAAATTTTCTCATGGAAAAATCCTGTAAATATATTGAAAAAATGTTTTTTGTTGTTTTTCAAAAAGCATCCTTACATAAACATAAGAATAGGCCTACTGTTCCAAGTGAAGTTTCAGAATGTCAGCATGATTTTGAATGTCCTTTTCTTATCTGGACCAGAAACTGGATGTTCTGGTTTTATTTTGTCACTAACCTGCAAATTTACATTCTTCTTAGTTTCAGCTGCACTTTGACTGCTAATTTGCATACTTTGGAGTTTGCATGTTCTCCCTGTGCCTACATGGGTTCTGTCCATGCCCTCCGGCTTCCTCCCACAGTCCAAAGACATGCAGCTTAGGTTGATTGGCAATTCTAAATTTCCCCTAGGAGTGAGTGTGGGTGTGTGTGTGTGT